GTGCGGGTGCTTGGAGGGAATCCAGCTCTGTTTTCACGCTTGGGGACACCCTTCCAGGCCCTGAGGGACAATAAAACCGCTCCCTCGGCCCTGGGAATCCCCCTCTATAAAATCCAAAAGAAGAAATAAACTCTATGCCCAAATATGTTCATTCCAACCTCACTTATAATGCACAAACATATCACCTGAAAAAAATACCTATATATTGGAGAATGGGGGAAAGGTTAAAGGTGTGACCCTAGCTGAGTGTCTTCCCCTGGGCTTCAGTAGGCTCAAGGCTGGTTGTGGGCTTGCAGGGAGGGCACGGGGTGGGGGAGAAGAGTAGGGACCCTGGAGCCAGACGGGCAGCTCTACATCCTGCCTCTGCCCCTGGCCAGGGTGTGACCTGAGGCCACAGCAGTCAGGGCTATTTACTTATTCTTTATCAAGTTCATTGGAGTAACATCATAATAAATTATATCAATAACATGTAAATATTTTATCACATTAATAACATCATATAAATTTGAGGTGTGCAGCTTTATAATACAACATCTGTATACGCCATTCTGTGTGCCCCACCTGAAGTCTAGTCTCTTTTTAAAAAAATATTTTATTTATCCATTTCTAGACAGAGGGGAAGGGAGGGAGAAAGTGGGGGAGAGGAACATCAATGTGTGGTTGCCTCTCGAGCGACTGGAGACAGGGTCTGCAGCCCAGGCATGTGCCCTGACTGGGAATCAAACTGGTGACCCTTCGGTTTGCAATCTGGTGCTCAATCACCTGGGCCACACCAGCCCCTCTTACTCTGTCCCCCTCCCTCCACCATGACGAAACCCTTCTGGAATGTCGCCTTGTCTCAGAGGCTCACCTGACAGCCCATACAGATCTGCTCCTCTTGAGGACTTCCAGTCATTCTGTGCTTTACCTTCCTGATGGTAAATGGCATTTGTTTCTGCTGTGACATTTATACTTTAGATTGTACCGGCATGTCTGCTGTGAGCTCCTTAGTGTGGGACCGTGGCCTCCTCCCCTTTGAAATCCTGATTCCTAGCACCAGACAGCCCCGAGGGGTCTGGTGGTCACATACCAGCCCGCTGCCGTCAGGCGCCATGTGAGGACTGGAGAGAATATTCCAGCCTGAGGAATAATAGGTCCTGAGCACAGGGAATCTCCTGCCTCCTGCAGGACTCAGGGTCGGGGAGGCAGATGGAAGCGAGAGGCTTGAAGTCCCCACTCTTGGCATGAGAAGAGGGTGTCTTTGAGCGTCCTCGGGGTCACAGTGTGGCAAAGGGAAAGTCTGAGGGACTGGTGGGCTGGCCCACCCCAGGCCTATTTCCCAGCATGCATCTCGGGCATTCCACAGCACCTCTTGGGGCCTCAGTTTCTTTGTGTGTGAAACAGGAACAACAACCGCTACCTCCACGGGTGCTGGGAGGGTTAGATGTGGGTGGAGCATCGGGCAGCGTGGGGCACCGGGGAATGGATGCTGAACTGCCTCCCCACTGGGAGGCTGAGGGAGGCGGCAGATTGGAGAGAGACTACCACTTGCCTATGGTTACCCAGTAATCTGGCCGAAGGTGGGGAACCAGCTCACCCCCGATTAATAATTAGCACCTGTGTTACACAGGCGCTCCCATCGGCAGCTGTGTGTGGTGCACTGGCTCAGAGCGGGAGGCATGGAAGATAGTGTATCGACCAGACAGAGGGTGAATTCCAGTAGGCACCGCCTCTCAAGCCCAGGGCCGCCTGAGTCACAGGCGCCCCTAGCCAGCTCTAGAGCAGGAGCGGGTGGGGGCAGGGCCAGGACATGGAGCCAAAGGTAGAACACTCAGCCTGCTATGAGGACGAAGCCCCTGGCAGGGTGGGTACTGCGGTCCTGACCTTGGGAAACTCGGTATTTCCTGTTTAAGATTTCACTTCGAGTAGGGGAAGCTGGGGGCAGGGGCGAAGCAAGGTGATGGACACTTCTTGAGCGGCCACCAGGTACCAGGAGGCTTCCGTACGCTTTGCCATTTCATCCGCACCATGATCTTACTCAGTAGTGATTAGTACCAACCCCAGTGTGCAGATGGCACTTGAAGTTCACGCTGGTGAAAAGCCTTGCCACAAGGGGAGGGCAGCGTAGCTCCTGAGAACACAGAGACTGTGGCATCGGACACAGATGAGCTCCAATCTGAGCTCTGGCGCCAGCTGACTGCAGCTCCCTGGGTCTCAGTTTCCTCGTCTGTGAAATGAAAACAATAATAGTCCCCGCTTCTTGGGGCTGATGTGACACTTCAGTGAGATGAGCTATATAACACGCACTGGCCAGGGCTGGCCATCATCATCCCCATTTTACCAGTGTGACAGCTGAGCCTCAGAACGGCGAGGCAACCTCCTGGAGGCCAAGTAAGGACTTGAACCCAGATCTGATCCTTCCCGCACACCACAGTGGAGTTCCCAGGGGTGACCCCCAGCTTCCAAAAGGCTGTCAGAAGGTGGCTGGAAAAGCGAGGCTCTTTGGAACAACCCGAGGACCAGATTTCTGATAGACCATGGGAGCCAGCCCCAGGGCTGGGGGCTCAGGGTCAGGCCTTGGGGCAGCAGAAAGTGCGGCAGCTGCCTGGAAGCCTTGCGTGTCTCACGGCGTCCTTGCCAGCCACCAACACGGGCCCAACATTGTTCTCTGGACACTCCCAGCCCAGGACCCACACATTAGGGATTTCCGGAGGCCTGGCCAGAACTACATTCACTTTCCGGAGAAGCTTACCCCCCGCTACTGGAATGGGGACTGAGCCGGCCCTGGGCCCCCTGTGCTGGGCAGGGACTGCTGGGAACAGCACTGGCAGCAGCTTGATCAACATCCCTTTGACCCTCTGTGTCCTGACCCCAGAGGCTGCCCTTCTCACTCACCTCTCCTGAAGCTGAGGGCAGAACAGGCTGTGACTCATTTCACTTTCAGGCTGACTGAAGTCAGGGCACCTGGGTTCAAGTCCCTTTCACAAACACACCGTGACCTGGGCATGTCCCCCCCTTTCTGTGACCCTAGGAGGGAGCCTGGAAGAGATGGAGGTCCCATCAGGCTCTGTCGTTGGTTCAGGGGTGCCCGCAGCCCCCTGCTTGGCTGTCTGAGCAGCGCCTTCTGGAGGCCTGGTCAGTTCTCCTGGAGCTCCCGGCAGGCGCTCAGCCCTCGCACCAGTGAGGTGGGGAAAAGGCCTGCCTGGCAGGGGCCTGGACGGGTGAGAGCGGAGGACCCCAGTGAGGGAGCCAGCACAGCAAACTCAAGCGCCCATCCCCACCCCCCGCCCCCAGACCAACTGGGTCAACTCTGCATTGGGATAAATGTCTGGAAGCCACACCCTAGGATGTCTGGAAGCTCAGGGAGCCTGTGTCTGAGACCCCTCTCTGCAGCTTTCACAGGTGTCTGTGCTGCAGGGGGTGGAGGCTGGACCCCCGCCCCTCCCCCAGCAGACCACCAGGCCCTGCGGCCGCACTGCCAAGCCCTCTTCCACAGGCCAGGGGCCGGGGTAGCACCCGCAGGGCGGCAGTGGGGCAGCGCTGCAGAGCCAGCTGCGTGTGGCGAGTCCAGCACCGCGGAATCGGTCCAACGGGATCACCGGGGACTCTGTGCGCACCGCCAGTGACTCACGCCAGGAGCAGCCTCGTGGGCAGCGGCTGCCAACCTGGGACCGCACCGCGCACACCTTTTAAGGAGAGGGAGCTGGGGAGACCTGCCTCTGGCTGTGTGCGAGGCCTCTGCCAGGCCTCCTCTGCACCTGCCCGGGGGCAGAGAGGCCCGATCCCCACCTGGGTTCAAATCTGGCATCATCACTTTTTAGATGTGACCTTGGGCAAGTCAAGTTCTCTGAACCAGTTTCTTCACCTGTGATATGGAAATACCACTTGCCTCACAAGAGAGGAATTAAGTGAGGTAATGTGTGTAGAAATGGCTTGGCAGGAGGCACCTTTTAAGGAGTGGCCGTGGGGCAGAGTGGAAAGGGCCCCGGCTTGGGAGTCAGGGTGCTGGGCTCTGGCCCTGCCCCTTCCTCCTGGCGTCTCTGAAAACTTGGCCTCGGTGCCTCTTCTGTAACGTAAGCCAACACTGCCTTGTCAGCTAGTTGTGGGATTAAGGCCGCAGGTACGCTACATTTTGTAAAATGATGGGGTGGGGGAGGCTTAGGAGCAGGGGCCAGCTTGCCTGGCCTTGAACCCCAGCCCAGGCACCTGTGGGCTTCACGGCCTCAGACAAGGTGTCTGAAAGGGCACAGTGATGGCAACACTCACCTAGGCTGGCTGCAGGGTGGGCTGCTCCGAACAGGGCCCGGCACACAGGACGTGCTCACTCCTCTGATGCACGGCTTTCTCCACTACCACTGCTGGCTGGCTTACCGCCCCCTTCACCATCACCTTTGAGAGCGCCCCGGCCCGAGGCCTTTCAGAGGCCACAGGCCCCACTTTGGAGGCAACCCCCCTCCGGTCACGGCAGCCTTCCCAGGCAGTCCTTGGGTGGGCCCCTCCCAGACCCAGAGTAACGCAGGCAGTTCCAACAGGAACAGGCAAGCCACCGAGATCGCTGCACATGGCAGTGAGCCTGGCACCCCGGGGCTGAGGGGCAGGGCACCAGGATACCTGTTGTCCAGTGCACGTGGCGCCCAGATGGAGGGCAGGCTCCTCACTGGTGAGCCCGGCCCCAAGGCCGGCTCCCTGAGGCCAGGCTCCACGTGGGCAGGGCCTCATGCCAGGTGGGAGAGGAGGACCAAAGGGAGCGGCTGGACCAGCCCGGGCGTCAGAGGCAACCCCACCTGGGCAGAAACCCTGGCTTTGTGCCCCGAGAGCCCATGTCATCTGTGTGACGGGGAGAGCAAACGCCCTCTTGCCTTGCGTGCGACGGTGTCCCCAGGACAGTGGCCAGTGCTGACAAGTGCTAATGACAAGAGGGCTGGTCACGGGCAAGCAGGTGGTGGGAGGTCAGGGGACCGGGGAGAGAGCGGCCTGGGAGGGGTCACAGGGCCCCGAGCCCAGATAGAACGGAAGCTGCCGACAGCACAAACCCCGGTTTTATTGGTCTGGTTTCTTCAGTGAGCCTCCTGCTCAGAGAACCCAGGCCCCTACTGGGGAGGGAGGGGGGCGCCCCCTACTGGGGAGGGAGGGCGGCGTCCGGAGACGTCCGCAGTCCAGAGTCTGCAGGACTCCCCCGGCCCGATGCGCGCAGCACGCTCACTGCCCTGGTGCCTGGAAGGAAGGAAGGGAGGTGGCTCTTTGGGGGTGGGGGTGGCTCTAGAGTAATGCAGTGTGGGGCCCAGGGTCCATTCTTCACAGCGGGAGGTAGAACGGGTCACATAAAGTCCTTTATTACAGACCTATAAAAAATGAGAGAATTATATATTACTCTCATTTGTTTGGGTTTCTCTTTTCCTTTTTACAAAACAACAGCAGGGAGGAAAGATGCAGGAGGCAGGTGAGCCAGGCCCCGGGATTAGGATGAGACCCCAGGACCGGGGAGATGAGGGCCAAGCCACTACTGCCCGACAGTAATGCCGTGGCCTGGCCCGGGCCTCTCCAAGCCTCTTGGGAGAACGACGACAGCCCTGCAGGGGGCGGACACGGAGAGTGGGTGGGGGACAGCCGTCCCCAGACCAGCAGCAGCACCATTCTTCTGGCGGCCACACTGGCAGTCAGCCAGGTCGGAAGCGCTGGAGGAGGACCTATGCTTGGAGGCCTGGTCTGCACAGCACGGGCCCTCGGGGCCAGACGGAAGGGGGGAGGCGGGGAGGGCCTACACGGAAGGGTCCCTCCGGGGACCATGGGCCCCAGCGGGCAAGGGCAATCAGGGCTCTTCCCTGCTGGTCAGCCTATCAGCTTCTTCAGGAAGGCCTCCAGCTGGTCCTCATCCTTGATGCCCACGAACTTGTCCACCACGTCCCCATTCTTCATGGCCAGCACGGTGGGCACAGCTGACACCTAGATGGAGGCAAGGGAGGCCAAAGAATTCAGAGGTGACGCGAACTCTTCAACTGCCATTCCCAAGCCTTCGTGGGGAAGGCTGGTGGCTTATGTAGGGCAGTGACTGCCCAAAGCCATGGGCGGGGCCCTTCCCCTGGTGCAGGGTACTGCGGGGCCCGGAGGTCCAGCCCCGGAGAAACTTTTCCACTGTGGGCTCCCAGAAGTACCCTGCCTCCCCCAACCACATGGCTGACTCACTGGCCCAGTGGTTTGGCTGGAATGACAGGAGATTAAAATAAAGCATGCAGCTGCAGGCTGGGCTGGGGGCAGGGCAGAGACCGGGAGGCGGGAGTCTGCCTCCTGGCTCTGCCACTCACTGGCTGGGGGCAGTGGCCAGGCCACACCTCCTTCAGAGTCGCACAGCCCTCTTCCATCGAACAGGTGGCAGTACCTACCTACCTACCTACCTAGATGGTTTAGGACAGGGATTGAAGGCTCACATACAAAGCTGAGTGTTTAGGAGCGTGGGCTCTGGAGCTGGCTGACCCCATCTGGGCCGCCATGGGCGAGCCACCTCATCACTGTTAAGTATCCGTGTTATCATCTGCGAACCTGAGATACTGATGGCACTTATATCAGAGGGTATACGGGCCGAACGGAACCAGAAGTGTAAACTCTCAGCACAGCGCCCGGCACCTGGCAGGGCCGTCAACAGTGGTAGACCCTGGCATGGCGCCCGACACACGGTGGGCACCCTGCAAACGGGGGCTGCAGGGGGAGGGCAGGAAGGTCTAACACAGGCTCCTTCGGAGCCACTTTAGCTCAATGCCATGACAGTTAATGGGGTCTAGAAAGCCACAGATTCGTTCTGGACAGTGTGGGAAGAAGGCCCAGCCATGTAGGATCTGCTAGTTATTTATAGTGGGGGTGGGAGACAACATTCCTGGCCTACGAAGTGTCTTCTCCAGCTCCCGCAGGGGACACGACAGATCACGTGCTACGTAAATAAGGCCCATGGCTCTGGCACCGAGCATTTTCTGTCCCCTGGGCTCCCTGCCTGACTCTGGTGGCCACTTGAAAAAAATATATAAACAGAACAAGATAAACACACTTTTCTTACACACACGTTAACTACAAAGTAACAACAGTGGTTTAGACAAACATACCAGGCCTTCACTATCCTGAGTGCTGTCCCACCCATGAGTCATCTTGAGGAGCCGGCTTAACATTTACAGTGTTTCAACTCCACAGTTACAAAAAAGGACAGCAGGCCACCCAGAGGCAGGCTTGTACCCCTCCCCCCATGGCCTTTGGGGGACAAAAACCTCAAGTGAGATGACGCAGCCTCTGTCCTTGTCAGTAGTATCTTCAGGCCCTTCAAGGACCATCCTGGGGCTGATGTGGGTGGCAGGTGTGGGCAGACCCACCAGGCAATGGGCTCACCACACACGTCCCTGGTTCCTGCCCCTGAAATTCTCTTTTTTAAATAAAGATTTTATTTATTTATTGTTTTAGAGAGAGGGGAAGGGAAGGAGAAAGAGAGGAAGAGAAACATCAATGTGTGGCTGCCCCTCACATGCCCCCAAATGGGGACCTGGCCGGCAACTCAGGCATGTGCCCTAACCAGGAATCAGACCAGCGACCCTGTGGTTCAGAGGCCCATGCTCAATCCACGGAGCCACACCAACCAGGGCCTTGTCCCTGTAATTCTTGACTCTGGCTGGCGTGGGCAGCTGCATGAATGCAAGGGTCCAGCACGTGGCTCACTCTGTCTCTAGGCACAAACTTGCTCTCAGATGCACCCGAGGCCGAGGCGCTCAGTTTGATGGTAAGATTTACAGGGCCGGTGCTTTGTTCTTTTGCCCCCTCTAGTGGTCTGTGAGGGGAGCGGCCTCAAATCTGGCAACTTTCAAGTACCAGTCAACTCTGCCCTTGTTCAATCCCACCCTGTGCTGTTTCCTAATAAATACAAAAGCTGTATGTCGTTGTATGAGAAGCGACCTAGTTGTCTTTCCGTGTCCTCTAAGCAGGACTGTGTGTGCACTGAGGCGGTATGGAGTGGACTCAGTTTTCCTCAAGAACTCCAGACGAGCGAGCCCTGTTGTGATCGCGCTGGTGCACTCCCACACGCACTGGCACACGGGGACGTGTGCAGCAGCTGGGTGTGCAGCACCCATGCCATGACTGCATCTGTATGACGACCAAGGTCGTCATTCCTGGCCACAGGCGTGCCAGAGGCCGATTCCCCTCGCTGCGGGGTACCTGGGCTTTGATTAGACTTCCCTCACCTCCGGGGAGGGGCACGTGGCTCTGCTGATGGCTCCCAGCCAGGAGGGGTTGGTCCCTACAAACACTGCCTTAAACGGACGTGCACAGGTGCCGGGCACACTCTTCCGGGAACAGAGATGTAAGCATAAGAGGGGCCTCGGTGAGGCCAGAACTCGGCATCCTCCCAACTCTGGCAGCGCTGAGGCCAGAGGGGCTGGAGGGAGAGGGAAAGCTGTGCTGGAAGTGCTGCCTCTCCTGTGCACTGTGCAGCCACCGGCCTGATGCCTCCCACACTTGGCTAAAGGCCCCCAGACCTCAGGACAGGGGGGCTGTGTGGGGCCTTCCCGCTGACCCACAGCCCACCGGCCTGCACTGCTGCTGAGCTCACTGTACCTGCGAGGCCTCCTCCTGTCTCACCCCAGTTCCCTCCATTTGTGAGTTAAGGGTCTACCAAGGGACAGGCACCATGCTGGGTTTGTAAGAGACTAGCAACTTCCTCCTGACTGACTGCAGAATGAAGGCAGAGAAAGGTCACTGTCACCCTGGCTACCACATCCTGGCTGCTTTTTACGTGTCAGGGACGACACTAATCGCTTGTGCCAGACACCTCAAATTCTTGCCTCTTTCAAGATCAGAAGACTGAGTGACGAGGGGTGGAGCTGGGATGTGAAACAAGATCTGTCTGACTTTGCTGTTGGCGAAGCAGTGACCAAAGTACACCATGGTCCAGCCGAACAGTGAGGAACTGGGGGTAAACACCGAGTTCCCGCAGGGCCGAGGAGCGCGTGCAGAGGAGAAGCAGTAAAGGATGCCACGCTTCAACTGAGAAATGCCAAATGCCTTGAAAAAGCTTTTAGATACAGGAGGCTTCTTAGAAAAACTATTATTAAAAATAATCAAGTCCAGCTACAGGACATTCTGGAAAAGGCAACAGCATCACAGAGGCAGCAAAAAGGTCAGTGGTTGCCAGGGGTTCCTGGGGAGGAGGGACGAAAAGGTGGAGCCCGGTGGATTCTTAGGGCGGTGAAACTGTTTTGCCTGATGCTGCACTAGGGGATATAGTGACACATGTCTGTCCCTGCAAGTGAGATCCTCTCGCTGACAGGTAGCCTGTGCCGACAGCAGGTGAGATGGGCCTTCACGAGAGCACCGCAGCCCCAAGGCCAGCCCAGGGCTTTAGAACTTTTGCCCTTGATATCCGGTTTCAGACTCTGCAGTGGCATCACCTGGAAGCTTGTTAGAAGTGCAGAATGTTGGTCCCTTCTAGACCTGCTGAATCAGTCTGCTGTTCAACATCCCAGGTCATGCCCCAGCTCAGTACATTGAGTGCCAGTTGGATTCCTGGCCAGGGCACATGCCCAGGTTGCTGGCTGGGTCCCCAACTGGGGGTGTGTAACAGGCAACTGATCAATGTTTCTTTTGCTTCTTTCACATGTCAATGTTTCTCTCCCCTTTATCATCTCCCCATAGACAAACAAACAGATAAATAAAATGTCGAGAAGTACCAATTTAGACGATTCTCAAAACAGCGGGATATAGTAATGACTGAAGTATATAGTACCTTCCAACTATGAAATATTAGTCGAACTGTCTATGAAGTTATATGGAACATTAAAAAGAAAAAAACTAAAACAAAAAACCCAAACGAGGTACTTCAAATATGGACAGTCACTGTGCTTGGGTGGTAAAACCACAGGTGACCTGCCCGCCCCTGTAGCTGCGTGGCTATTTCCCAATGCTTTTAAAAGGGCAGCCTGTACGATGAGGAAATAGCCGGGTAACACTCCAAGGGGGAGGTCAGAAGCAGAAGCCCTAGAGGACAGCATATGGGCTGATGGGCCACAGCCACATCCGGACCCAGGTGCTCCCCTGGCTGGCAAGGCCTGAGTGCTTCTGAATGCCCAGCCGTTCTGTGGGCACCCCAGGGGCAGGGACAGCAGAGAGCTCTCCTACCCCCAGGCCAGGGCAGCGAAGAGTCAGGGCACAGGAGTGCCCACAGACACCAAAACCCCATGGCCCTGGGTGACTTTTCCTTCCCTCTCCTTTGGGAGACAGTGAAACTCCAAGGTGGGCAGCTGAACTGAAGCATAAAACGTTGGAGGTGAGGGCAGGGGCATTTGTGTGAGGGAGGAGACCACCCATCCTCAGGGCGTGCTGAGCTGGGCGGAGAGCTCAGGAAGAAGTGCCTACTTCCCTGCATAGAATTTCAGCATTTTCTCCAACAAGTTATCCAACACATAGAAAAAGCACTTTGGGCCTTGGAGGAAGCTATCCTAGGAGGCACTATGGATCTCTTAGCTGAAACTTCTTCCTCAGGCTCTTCCAAAAGAACAGGTGTGAGGGAAGGAAGAGAAGGGCTGGGGGAGGGGTCAGGAAGCATCCGTGCTGGAGCATCCTTAGTCTGCAATGGCGTCTGCCCAGAGCTTGGCAAGACAAGGAGGTAGGGATCGGGCGCTGGGCCCGGCAGCCTTGGGGGCTTTCTGCGGGACCCGTGCATGCGACCTGGACAGCGGACAGGGAAGAGGGCAGAGAAGATCTCATAAGAGCCCTCTGCACTCCACATGCTTTCCAGGATTAACCCAGGACTTTGGTGCCCAGCCCTACGTCACCAGGACCCCTGAAATGCAGGCGGGTGGCCTGGGGAACTCTCGCCACTACCCTGACCACCGTCAGCAGGGACTGGGTCACTCTTCTTTGCATCTGCACTGGCTACCGCGGGTCCTGGCAGATGGCTGGCACTCTGGCTGTGTCTGCCGAAGTTCCACTGGCTGGGGGGAGCCTAACCCACTTCAACCCGCCCATTACCCTGCTGGATCCAGATATTTCAAGAGAAAGAGAAATCTGGATTTTCGTGGGAAATCTTCTGAGTTTTAAATAGCAACATCTGGGTTGGTATTTTAAAAAAGCACTTGGAGAGCCAGTCCAAACCTGTCACCGGGCTGGATCTGATCCACAGGTGCCACCAGGGCTCTGTAATAACACGTTCCTTAGCATGGTTGTGCAGACCCCTCCAATATGGTCACGGTGGCTTTCCCAGCTGCCTGCTCCTTGCTCCACCCTTCACTCCAGCCACCCAGCCACGATGAACACCTCCCCTTGCTCTAACTACAGTGGTCCCCAAGGCCCAGAGGATGCCCCCACTTCCCATACATTTCCCATTCCTTTTCCTCCAGCATGCTCTGCTCCACAGGCCCTGCTGTTCTGTGAGCATGCCTGGGAGACCCTGACCTCAGGACCTTGGCATGTGATGTCTGCTCTGCTCGGACTGCTCTTCCAAATAGCTGCATGGTTCACTCCGCACCCCCAGGTCTTAGTCAGATGTCAGCCTCCCATGAGACCGTCCCTAGCCCACCCTTTTAAAAAGGAAAGCCTCCCCAACCCCACACTCTACGCTCCTGCCCCTTCTTCTGGATTCGTTTGTTTCTGTACTGTCTACGGCCACTTCAGTGCTACAATCACAGGATTTGCAACAGTGACCAATGCCTACGAAGCCTCAAACATGTACCACCTGGTCCTTTAGAGAAAAGTTTGCCAATGATGACCTAAAGTGCCAGAGTGTAGGCTCCATGAAGATTGGAGTTTGTCAGTTTTGTTCACTGCCACATCCTTGGCACCAAGCAACAGCACCTGGCATCCAAGGGACTCTAAGTAAACAGCTGTTGAATGGACACATGAGCAAACAGAACACATCAGGTGATGCCACGTACTTGTGTACGCTGTGCTCCCGACCCCTCCTGCTTCGTGCATCATTCACGGCACTGCTCAGAGAGTCAGTCCCTCTAACGGGACGCCTTCCCTGTCCCCTCCAGCCCCACCCCATGTGCAACTGGTTTCTTCTTTTGTGCATCTCTTTTCTCAGTGCTTCTCATCCTGCACTGAGACCATCTGTCTACTTGTTCCTTTCCACCAGACTAAGAGCTGCTTAGGGACAAGGAGCTCATCTCGTCTGCGCCAGAGTCATGAGCAGGACTCGCAAACGACTGCTGGCTATACATGTGGATGAATGAGTTCAGGAAGGAAGAAATGCACCCGTGTCCTGAAATGCACAGAACCACCTGCTGTTTGGGGTCATGTATTCTAGTTCCTAAAGGTGGTAAAGAGAGACATGTGGCTCACAGATTCGATGGACTCACGTCTGTCAAGTGCTTTGAACCCCTGGGAACTCTAAAACACCCACCAAGACACCTCCTCTTACTGGCTCTCTGGTGGTCCCCAAGACACCCATTGGCCTCACCAGCTATCCTGTGGCCCTAAGCACCCCCAGACCAGCTGCCCTGGGCGATCCCCTGCCAATCCATACCTCATACTCTATGGCGAGGTCTGTGTGGTCGTCAATGTCCACCTTGGCCATCACCACCTTTCCATGCTGCTTGGCCACCACCTTCTCTAACCGTGGCCCCAGGATCTTGCAGGGGCCACACCACCTCGGAAGGGGAGAAAGGAAGCATCCCGTCACAAAAGCGCTCACCAGCTGATCTCCATTCTCCCCAAAACATGCCCTGGACCCACATCTTTCTGGGGGACCTTTTGTCCTTATTACCTCTGTTTACAGTGTTTGAATATTAACCTGTAATGTCGACATGCCAAATGGAAATGATAGGAGATTCGGCGGCAGGGGAATTCTCATAGGTCCCTAAGTTCTAAAATACAGGCCTCGGACTCTCACAAAGGTTATTTCACTTTCTTCACCGTATCGAAAAAAGATAATATCACTCTGGCTGGTGTAGCTCAGCGGATTGAGCGCCAGCCTGTGAACCAGAGGATCGAGGTTCGATTCTCAGTCAGGGCACATGCCTGGGTTGGAGGCCAGTTCCTGGCAGGGGACGCACGAGAGGCAACCATACATTGATATTTCTCTCCTCTCCTTCCCTTCCCCTCTAAAGATAAGTAAATAAAAATTTTAAAAAATCTTTGTTATAAAAAAAAGAAAAACAAACAAAGAAAAAAGACATATCATCACGTGGAAGGATATGGGATTTGAAGTTAAAAGGTTTGGGTTCAAAGACAGGTTCCTCCTCAACCAGCTGACTGTTCTGGGGCCCAGTTTCCTCACTGGAAAAAGACAGGCCACGCCTCTCAGAGCTGTGATGAAAAGTCAACTAAGGCACCATGGATACACATGCTTCGTAAGATACAGAATTCCTTCGAACACCTCACTGACAGAACTAAAGGTGAAGAAACCAATGGCTAGAGAGTGTCCACAACACGCCAGTCACTGCACCGGGACCTTCTCAGCTTTTCCTACACAGAACCCTCCATGCAGCCAAGGAAAAGAGAACTAGGAAACTGAGGCCCATACAAGTTAAGCAACTTATGCAACATCACAGAGCTGGTGAGAAGCACAGCTGGCATTGCAACCCAAGGTTGTGTTTCAAGTGTCTCCTTTCAGCCCCAGGCCACTCTGAGATTCCCAGGCCCCGAGACAGCGGCCAGCACTGCACTGAACACAGGTGTTTCTCTCTATGGGACGAGCTTTCAAGAACAGCTCTCTTCCCTAGGCATGTGGCATTAAGGACCGTGCCTGGCACTGAACGAACAAACTCACACCCTGCTTCTGTGCTGGAGAAGAAAATGAAGCAGCATCCCATTTACCAGCCACTTCGGAAGCCCCCTCTGGAGTGTGCACTATGCCAGCAGAGCACAACAGCCCTGTGTTCCACGACTCCCTGGCTCATGTCTCCTATCTTAGTTTCAGCCTTTGAAATGCTTTCCATTCAGAGATTTCAATGAATGAACTTACCACACCTGAAAGCCCAGTCTGCAAGACCTTATCTCCCACTACAAGTGAAGAAAGGGAAGCACAAGGACATCCACTGGCCTGCCCAGGGTGTGTGGTGCGTCAGAGAAAGAACGGGAAAGAAAGCAAAAGAACCTGCCAAGATTTGCACAGAAAGCCTCCCAATTTGTAACTCGGGCAATAATGGCTCCTTCTAGAATGTCTCCTTCTGAGGGGTTCGTCCAGTTTTTCTGTAGCCAGGCATCTAGCCAGGTCCCAAAGGTCTGGAAATGAAGAAGGCCAGGCTCAAAGTCAGTAGGCCACAGGCATTTAAATATTCTGAGAACAGACTCACGCAGCACTGAAAAGAAACTCCTGCCCACTCTCTGCACGCTCGGGCGCCGCTGGGGTGGCTCTGAGACCTTTTAGCCACCCCTTTCCGGTTTGGGTGGCAGGGTGTTAAAACCAAACCAACTTATCGGCAGGGCCAGGAACTGGTACACACCAAAAACTAGATGATGCTACAGTTTTATCATCCCTGTTTTGGTACAAGCTGAAGACGACTCTCAGCCATTCGGGCAGTAGATACAGGACACAAGTGTTTCCCAGCACCAATAAGAGCTTGAAAGACTGTTTACTGGTCTGTCTCCTACCCGACTACACTCATTTCTTCGAGAGCAGGGATTGGGCCTTGCCAGTATCTGGAGTGAGTCTGTGTATGAGAAGCATCCAACGTGGTGCTGAGACAGAACTGGCTCTCAAAGATATCTGAACAAGTGACACCCTAGTCTTCTCCTGGCCCCGAGCACTCACTGCGCATGAAAATCCACAACCACTGGTGTCTCACTGTTGACAACTCGGTCTTGAAAGTCAGTGCCATCCTGGATGTTAAAGGTCGTTGTACAGACTCTGGTGGTATACAATGGCCGGGCTTGGCTGGCTGTCACTGTCCCATCACCGGAATTGCCTTGCAGGGGCTGCAGAGCCCTGGAGGTGAGCGGTGCCCACCGACCTTGAGGGGGCTTCCTGGAGATGACGGAGGCCACAAACCTCCTCAGGAGAAGTCGCTGAGCCATCTGTGAGGGGAAGAGGCAGGAAGAGCTTCAGCAGACAACAGGACGTCAACACACCAGAGGAAGAAAGGTACTGGGAATACAGGTGAACTCAAGATGCAGGGTGGAAGCAAAGTGCCAGGAACTGAAGAACCCTTCTAGAGTAGAGGTGAGTGAAGAAAGAACCAAAGGGTAGAAGGAACTGCAAACCAAGTCAGAAACACTGGGTTGACGGACGACCCAAAAGGAGTCAAGATATCAGTGGAATTACAACAAAAGAAAGGGAGGCAGGACCGATATTTACCAAGCACGTGCCAAGGGCCACATGCCTTCCATACATTATAATCCTCCCAGATCAACTTTGGAGAAAGTTTCTATAGTACTGCCCGTATTACCGATAAGGAATCCGAGGCTTGGTTAAGTTGTGGCACGCCCAAAGTAACCCAACTATCACAGGAGAATCAACATAGAAACCCTAGGCTGTCTGCAAAGTCCTTACTCTATCAATTACTTTTAAAAAGGTATTTTAACGGGACGTTAGTGAAAAAGGGGGGTTGTAAAAGATCAGGCGAGAGGAACCACAACAATTCAAGGAGGAACTAAAAACCACAGAAACAGGTATGTATGTGTGGGGTAATTAAAAAACAGGGGACGTGTGTGTGGGAGGGAAGTGGGGAGATCGGCTGCCGCCAGGGACCCCTGCTCTCCCGCGGGCAGATCTTTCCGCCCCGTGCCTCGGCCCGCTCATCCGCCAGCCCCCCGCAAGAACGCGCCCGCTGCGTGCCTCAGCCGCGACGCCACCTCCCTCCACCCCCATGGGCCTCCTACCTCCCTGCAGCGCGAGCGGAGGGACGTACAGTCTGGCCCGCCCCGCTTGTCAAGGGCACTTCTTCCGTCACTTCCTTAGAGGAGGGTCTTTATCGTCACTTCCGGGGGCAGGCAACCTGGAGCACATCTCTTCCACTGGAGGGTCGGCCCGGATTTCCCGCGAATGGGGAAGGCGGGGAAAGACCGCTAAAGGGGCGGAGCCTCAGTTAGGGACCAGAAAAGGAGAGCACACGGACGTAGAGACCGGAATAGGGAGGGAGGACCCTTGGGGAGGGACCGGAAACGGTGGTGGCTGGGGGGTGGGGTGGAGGGAGGGACCGGAAGAGGCAGGCGGGTCCAGGAGGAGGGACCGGGAGAGGAGGTGAAAGGAGGGGTAAGCAAGAGGGAAGTGCTCTCAGGAGAGAAGGGAGGAGGCGGGGAGTGATTATGGAGTGTGTTAACTCAGTCTGTTTTAAACTCAGCCAGCACTGGCCATCCTTGTGCCCCATTTATTGTCTCCCCAAAACTCCTAGACATGCTGGGAGGTTCTTTCTTTCCATTTAGCTAATGAGGAAGCTACGCTCCTGAAAAGGTATAGTTCCCGTCAATGGGCAAAAGACCCTGCCTACGAGTCAAGAGACCGCTTTTTGTCCCATGTCTGTAACACACGACTGCATGACCTCGTGGTTTTGGGCAAGTCAGCCCGGGGCCTTCGGTTTCTCGTTCTGTGGCTTGAAGGACTGGGCTTGCCATGCACGTCTTCGAACTTGCTGGGGGATTGGGCACCAGAGGGTGGTGATACTTGGAAGGCCTGCCTACCAGGCCTTGGGTCAGGTATGGTGACCTGTGAACCTTGGGCCTGGGCCTTCCTTTCACACTCTGGAGGTTCAGACCTAGTCACCCCAAGGTGTCCTTTAGTGGTATGTGAATTGTTTTGAGCTAAGGACAATTTTAACTTCAGGCTCAAAAGTAACAACTGCCCCTCCCTTTAACTACCTAGAGAAACTTGAATTAGGGGCCTTGCCCATAATAAGAGATTATCAGGGACAATGTCTTTGACTCATCTGCAGGATAGGGCAAACTTCTATTTACTGAACATCTATTCTTACCATTTTGCAATGACCCTTTGAAGCCCCCGAGGTACCCTAACTCATCCGCAGCTCAGAATGTTTTATATATTCATGTTCTCTCTCTCACAACTTCTCCTGCATGTGGGAGTCTGTGACTCTCGTGTATGTGAGGTTCCCATGCAAATGTAGGAAATTTGGTTATTTTATCTTGATAATCTGTCTCATGCCCATTTGATTAGATCAGCTAAAAGAACCTTGAGAGTGGAGGAGAGTTTATTGCTCCCGAACAACACCTGTTGTCACTGTCATGGACAGTGGGAGTGCAGACACCTGTGTGTCCCAAGCTGGGGTGTTCGTGCTGCCTGTCACCTACCGAACCCGATAAGCAGAGACAGGGATTGAATCTCTTCGGGTGCTTGATTCAGACGGTCAGCAATCTGAGAAGACAGTGAGTTTGTACCCTGACAGACCATCTTAAATTTTATTTTCAACTGACCTATTTTATAACAAGAAAGTGTAGGTAAGGGGTTTGGCATTCAGGGAAAGGTAATCAGATAAAAGCTGCAGCATTCTTTCATCTCTGTCCTGGGCTGTGGGCGTCTCCCCTGCGGCGCAATGGCTCAGATACCATCTGGATGGCTTGAGTCCTCCTGGGGCACAAAGGTGGAACTGATGTGGTCTCCTGGAATCAGGGTGTGTCATACCTTCAGTTCCTGGAACAATAGCTACACCCAAGATTGCTCTATCCAGCAAAACTTTCATTTAGAATGGAAGGACAGATAAAGTGCTTCTCAGATAAGGTCAAGTTCAAGGAGTTTATCATCACCAAGCCCTTATTATATGAAATGTTCAAGGGACTTATCTAAGAAAAAGAAGATAAAAAAGATAAACAGTGAAAGGACAACAAACTCACCGTTATTAATAACCACACCTAAAATAAAAGCAAACTAAAAGGACAGCTAGATCAGGAGTGGAAACATAGAAATGAAGATCTCAAGGAGGGTTAGCAACAGGGGAGTGGGAGGAGGAGAAGAGGGGAAAAGGTACAGAAAATAAATAGCATAGACAGTAGATAGAAAATAGATGAGGGGGGAAGAATAGTATGGGAAATATAGAATCTGAAGGACTTGAGACACATGGTCATAAACTAAAGGGGGGGTAATGGTGGGGATGGGGGGGTAGGGTGGACGGGAATGAAGGGGGGAATAGAACAACTGTAATGGCATAATCAATAAAAAAAAGATTTTATTTATTTATTTTTAGACAGAGGGGAAGAGTGAAAGAAAGAGAGAAACATCAATGTGTGATTACCTCTTGTATGCCCCCTACTGGGGACCTGGCCTGCAACCCAGGCATGTGCCCTGACTGGGAATTGAACTAGCGACCCTTCGGTTTGTAGGCCAGCACTCAGTCCACTCAGCCACACCACCCAGGGCTGAAATGATAGCTTTTTCCATACATTCATTACTAAGTTTATTAGGTATTACCTGAAACTAAAAATTTCCAACATTTGAGTCCCCAGTCAGGGTCATGTTATACCCAGCTAGGAAAATTACAGCTAGGGCATTACTCAACCCTAAATCTGCAGTTCCTGGAACAGGGTAATGAACAAACATCAGGGAACAATTGAGTTTAAAATTCTAGCCAAATAAGGTAACTAACCCGGGCCGCCAGAAAGTGCCCGCCAGCAGTAGCACCCACCAATCAGGGGCCCTCGCCGTTTTTAAATAAGCCAATAGCTAACCGCCACCTCTGCTTCTGTATGCCTTTGCTTGCTTGCTAGAAAATATAAATACCCAGTAAGCCAGGCGCGACTTCCATTTTGTAGCTCTGAGTAGCTACGTGACTACGGTCACAGTTGGGGAAGTTCGCTCCTGCGCAGGAAAATCTTTGGCCATTAAAATTTTTATCAATTCGGTTCCGGACTCCGAGAGTGTGTATTTACCCGCCGATCGTCTACAACAGGTCACAGCCACCTCTTGTGTTTCCTGTACGGTGTGCAACCACTCATGGCTTTTTATGGTTCTATGAATACATCAGTGTGTTTTCCCCCCCTTGTCTTTGCTTTTTTCTCTCTCCACTTGATACAACACCTAGATTACTCATCACTGTTTCTTTGAGCAGCATTAATTGCTTCCTTCTCTGTAGTGCTTTGTTCAAAACTCTCACATAAAGCTAGAGCATATGTTTCCTAAGAGTAGGGATTTGTAGCTTTTATCTGACTCCATGTGCCCAGCACCAACCTAACACAGTGCTTCACTCACAGAGGATGTTCAATAGATGCTTACCAAGCCCTGACTGCTGTGGCTCAGTGGGTTGGCAGGTGTCCTGCAAACTGAAAGGTTGCTGGTTTGATTCCGGTAGCCACAGCTTCTCAGGGATCTTCTTCTGGGATGAGGTGAGGGAATATGCTTGGGACAGGTCCGCTTCCCCTGGCCACCAGCAGCCATGTCGGCCTTCTACTTAATAAAGCTCTTTGTTCATTGTACGCAGGAGACTAATTGAGGACATGGGCAGGCATGGCCTTCTCCATCCTATCCGACCCCTTGCTTTTGTCTCTGTCCCTACCTAGGACCAGAGCCCACAGTGGTGATCCATAGAGGGACCCCAGTATCCCTGGCCAGGTGGTTCAGTTGGGTGGAGCGCCATCCCGTACACCAAGAGTTTGCAGGTTTGATTCCTCGTCAGGGCACATGCTTAGGTCGTGGGTTTGATTTCTAATCAGGGTGCATAGTGGAGGCAGTTGATTGACGTTCCTCTCTCTCCTTTCCCTCCCCACCCCAAATCAATAAACATCCTCGAGTCAGGATTTTTAAAAAAATTATACATATTTTTTGTTAGATCGGCAAAGTATTTTTTGGTCTGCCAGAGTTTTAGTAGTTATGTGTGCCATGAGGTGGAGAGGTTGAAAGCTGCCGCTCCAGGCCGCTGCCTCTTCCAGGCGTAGCCCCAGGGAACGGCCAGCGGATCTAGGCCATCGGAGGGCACCGTGGGCTCCGACACTGCAGCTGGCGGCAGAGCAGTCAGCAGTGGCTGTGTGCCCACCGGGAGGCAGTGTGGTTCTTTCAGCGTCCTCCACAGTGGGCCCGGCGAGCTGGGCACGTCCTCGTGGGCTCCCTTTGGACCTCAGGGCTGATCACAGGACGAAGGGTACTTCTCTCTGACGGTGTCAGAGGGTTTTGTGACTGGAGGGAGACACCTAAAAAAAAAATAAAAAGAGAGGTGATGAGCCACCCAGTCTAAGCTGACAGTGAGTTCCTCTCCACAAGGTATTGCTCCTAAAGTATCTTTGTTTTCAGTTTCCATTTGGATAGTAATTTTTTTTAACGCTGTTGCAGAACACTTGGAACTATGACTGATGGTTTGCGATTCATCAAGTTGGTTTTATGTTCTGGTGTGATTCATGTTCTGTTGCCTTCCCAGCAATGCCCTGCCTCCCTTTCTGAGCTTGAAGACCTGGCACGGGAACAGTAACATGACCCTTAATTCATAGACTGGAGATGGCTTTGTCCTGCAGTGGTTCATCTGGAGCAGCGTGGCTGTGATGGAGGTGGAGGCTGCAGTGGAGGTGGGCATATGCTGTCACGCACACTTGCCCACCCCACTCTGAGGCCAGTGCCCTCAGGGGACACGTGCAGGCCGGGGCAGCAGTAGATAGGGCTCATTCCAGATCCTGCCCCCTGTTGCAGTGGGACTCCTCACATGTTCCTGATTCTGGGGTGGCAGGTTGGGGAAGAGGAGGGAGGGGCAAAGTCTGCAGCTGTGAGAGGCTGGGGAGGGGAGGCAGGAAAGGACCCTTCCTCTTTTCATCCCTCACCCTTTGGCTTGCTTCTCTTCCCCATCCTGGAACTGGAGGCAGCTGTGGGTTAGAAAGAT